ACAAAGAAAACAACTGGGTCACACACCCAAATCTACAAAAGTCTTATTTTAGTTTATATTTATTGCCAGACATGTATCAGCACAAGGGGAGAGTCCCATTTACTTTCTACTTACATAGGGTTCATCCCATGTTTCTTACATGCACCAACATCTCCTTCATTTGCATCTTTTCCTTGTGTATTAGTCCCACCCACGTAAGATGCAAAAAGAAAATGTGAGGAGAGGTGAATTGAGGAAATATGAGGAATTGTTGAATTGAATAAAGTAAATATGCAGACTAATGACCACTATTTAAAAGCTAAATAAAACAAAATAAACCACCCTGTCAATTATGTCCTCACTGATAATGAAACGAGTTCAACTGATTTAATATCAGTGATTAAAAAAATTACTGGTTCAATCTACAGTCTGTTTCTTTAAATCAAGTCTTTATAAACCCACTTTATTCACTTTTCACAGAATCCAAAATTTGTCTAATGTGCTTGATAGTACAGAGGGGGTTTTCTCTGTGGAAAATAGTACTGCTTTTAATGAAAATAGGGCAGTGTAGCCAGCAATTCCCTTGCCAGCTATTATTTATTGGTGTTTTGGACCAGAGTTTTCACTTTTCCAAAGCATTTCTGTAGCTCCTCTATGCGTTTTTGTACACCAACCGCTTCCTATGTGTGAGTGAACACGAGCAAGATGTTACGTGCTGGACCTGTTGTGCTTTCAGTGTAGAAATGGTACTTTTTATGCTTCTGTCTAGTGGTGCTACAACAGCTGCCACATTCTGTTAATGCAGTGTTATTAAATGGTTAAAAAGTGTCATCTAAATTGGACAGGTTACAAAAACTGTTCATATGCGGATACAACATGCTAGTTAGTAGCTGCTCTATAATTAATCTGTAGTTCTGAGAGTGTGTTGTCCAGCTCCCAGCAATCTTAAGATAATAAACTTAACATTAAATTTGTATCAAGAAGCTCCTTAAAAATGCAGTGTGCAGGTTAAATTCAATATGTAAGATATTTAATGAGCATTTACTGCAGGTAAATATAACTATCGGATCAGAATCGCCATCAGGGCCAACAAAACTGGATTGAGTGTCATCTTGCACAACTATGAAGTGTATGGTTTTGCCGGATGTTTTTATTGCAGTGTACCACAAAGTATTTTACTGTGTTTGTGGAGGATGGCAATTACTTGACTCACACTAATTATGTATATTATACATATATTTTTCTTTTATATACACACTAGATCAGTGAATGAGGTTTTGTGTCTGATGGGGGTGGAATTATATCTTGTGGGCAGCCTTGGGAAGTTTCTAGACTGGCAAATCTGAAGACACCTCAGATTGCAGGTAACCATTTGACACATCTGTCAGTAGTGACTTAAGAAGAAAGGAGACGTTTATCAAACTAAGGCCTACAGTTTGTAAGTAAAATGTGAAAGGGACTCATCTAGGAAACAGAAAGACTGTTGCACACTGAAGAAGACTTGGCCTGAAATGTTTGCTTTTTCTCCCCTTGTACTGACAGTACATGCATGATAAAATAAGAAAACCTGCTGTTTTCTTTGTACAGTGACATATTAACATGCATAAAAATTGGTCACTGATGTAACTAAATAGATGACTGTAAGGTTTCTGAGTCTGGACAATTCTGAAAATGTCAAAGCAATCAGCGTCAGGCCTGGCAGAATATAATGTGACATAAGCCCAACAGAAAACCAACCCAGGTAGCATAACAGTAATACTCTTCAAATAAATACACACTTTGTAGGCTCAGGTCAAAAGTGGGAGCACACGACAGCGCTGGAGGCAATACTAGTAAGTGCTCAGGAGAGTGTTAGTCTTTTAGCATTGCATAACTGACCCGGGATAGCGAGGCAGGCACAGTGGAATCAGGGAGCAAATTAGTCCAGGGCTCAGTAGTAGCTGGGGGACAAATAAATAGCTGGTCAAGGGGCAAGCAACTGACCAGGCAGGGGACAAAGATCACAGTTTGTGAAGCAACAACTGTTACGTCCGTGACCCGGGCCGCCCCATGTACCTCGGTAGCAGGCACAGGTAGTTCCAGCAGCTCCGCCCCCGCACAGGTAAGGGTGCATTCCAGGCGACGAGGCACACCTGCTCTCCATTATCGGAGCAGTATATAGGGTCAGCGTTGGTGCGTCCTCGTCGCCAGATTATTATGTGTTATCCTGTTGGTAACTACGTTTCATGTTCATGTCAAGGCCTCAAGTTTATGGACCATTGTTTGATCTGCGCTCCTTTTGCAACATTGTGAACTGTTATTGCGCATTGTTCTGTGGTATCGGTTTTCGTGCCCTTCTCACGTTTAAAGGAGTTTTTGGTTTTTGGACTGCTTTTTGTGAATTGCTCCTCCTCTCAGAGCTCCAAGGCAATCCTGGGACAGCGCCACCATCTTACGTCGCACCGCTCAGCCATCAGTGCTGCCTCATCAGGGGACCCACACACCGAACCCGAGATCTCTGGCACCAGTCTCCCCCTCCCTGGACTACTCCCTGGGCCTGCGGCGCACTCAGCTGTTCAGGTCCCCAGAGTGACTACCAGAAACAATCTATACCATACCTGCTGCTTGTTCTTAAATTCTCTCTCTGTTCTTATTTAGCAAGCAACGCCTCTCATTCACTCCGGGAGACAGTAGCCCAGTCAACTCAGTGTGCCCAGCTGCCCCAAGATCAGCAGATGAGACCGGCTCTGTTTTGTTTGTTTTCGTGGAGCATTAAATACGTTTTTCTTGTCTAGCCTGGGTTTGAATCTGCATATTTACTGGGTCCTAAACAACTCACACACAGCTCGATGTAACAACAACGGAATAACCTGGCCATGGTTAGATGGAAGTCGCAGTCCAAGGGACAGCAGGTTGGTTGAGTTGAGAGGAAAGGAGATGAGATTGTAGGAGTCTCCAGCATGGTGGTCAGGCAGTCAAGGAATGAATGAATGCTGACACCTGTTTTTATGCTGGTGAGTCGATGATGCTGATGAGCAACAGCTGTGTGGGGGGGAACAGGAAGGGGCAGGAGCAATACGAGGGCAATGCAAGTTTATTTATAGAGAATTTTCATACACACAATTTTCATAAGCATAATTCCAAGTGCTTAACACCATGCACACACATTAAAATCCACGTATAGTAGATAAAACGTTAGAATGCAAATTAGATAAAACATCAAATATTACTTAAAAGCAAAAATTACATGACAGTACAAGTAGCAACATGCACGAGTGGATGCCTAGTATTTGAGTAGCTTTAGTATAGCTGTGACTACACTTTATACCACTTTAGTACTTTAAATTTGAAACACCAGTATACAGTATGTTAAACAGTCCCAAAAACATTTAGGATAGCTGTGTCAAACTGTGGATTCTCAGTATACTTTGTACGTCTTTACTTCAGTTTTCAGGTCAAGACTAACTTCTGAGTAATTTACACCAGAGGCGGGTGTACTTTATTCTGGAAAATTTGAAGCATCAGTGTCTATACCGTCACCTAAACAGCACAATGAAGTCAGCTGGTCATTGGGTATGTCAGAATCCACTTTATTGGCCAGGTGGATGAAAAATAAAAGCAGATAGGGTGGAGTTAACATACATAAATTAAAAGCAATGGAAAAAGGAACAGTCTTTAGTTTTAAAAGTGGCTCCAATTGGGGCAGATCTAAATTCTAATGGGAGCTGGTTCCAGCTGTGGGCAACATCGTGGCTAAAAGCCCTTTCATCTACAGATCTGAGACGCCTACCAGGCTTGTACCCAGTAAACATAAACATACAGTATTTCTGATATATTGTGAGCCCAGACCATTGAAAGACTTTTAGACAATAAGTAGGAACAAAGGCATGTATTTGGACTGTGGGAAGAAGCCAGAGTACCTGGAGAAAACACACAGGCACAGGGAGAAATGCTTACTACTGATTGAACAGATTAGAGGCCATAGCCTCACAGTCCTTTCCCGACATCGACATGCTGAGTACATCACCTAGTGATATCCCGGGACCTTACAATTAACAAATTAATCACTGATGTGAGAGACCATATGAGGGTTAAGACATTGTGGAAAAAAACCTATCTTCTCCATTGCTGTGTGCACATCTTTGATTGTTTGTATATGGGAAACTTCTCTGTTGGTCAAGAACGCAAATAAATGTGTCAGAGCTTCCTAAATTCTATTCCATCAAAATAAACAGAAGCCACTCCATAATTATGTTGTAAGGTTGGATTTATCATCAAATAATTCACAGTAACAACAGACCTGATTATTTGATGGCCAGATGTGTTTACATAACTAGGTTTAATTGGGTAATATTTGGAAATAAGGTGGATGTTTTAGGTGTCTATGCTATAAACAGTGATGCACATAACTAGTGTGCATGTGTGGTTAAAATCAAGAACGTGCATCAGATATTACTTAAAAAAATACTTTTGCAGATGGATGCTTTTGACACTAGGATTTTTCATTTACTGAAACACAGGGCTTTTCTTCATGCATCATTGGTAAGATTTTCATTACAAACATGTTAAAGTTAATAATTTGTTGTTGTAGCTATGTAAAATGTCAAGCTGTTCATAGACTTGTTTTTTTTTTCATTAGCTGCATGCCAGTATAGAGTCAGCTTACATTACAGCTAGCTACACTGTGTTTCTCTGTTTCTAGGATTCTTATCAATTCACCAAAATGTCCAAGAAGGAAAGCACATTAAGTAACTATTTTGATATTCCACCACCTGCACAGAAACACCAGAGTGAATCTGAGCATAAGAAAGGAGTGTTTGCTGAGAAGTGGCTACAAGTTTCATGACTCACAACAGATGATGTGGTGTAAGATATACTGTACCATAAAAAATCCCAGTCTTGTAGATAAAAGCAGCACCTTTTATTTAGGGGCAATTTTTTCATCACCAATGTACATCCACTTGTCCAAAAATGGACTGGACAGAATAAATGACACCCTCAACTTATTATTTGGTCACCAATCTTTTGGACAAAATAACTGAAATCAGTTACTTCCTGTACCCATTAGTGAGTTTCTTCCACCTCTCTACTGGAATTTTGGACCACTCTTCGTTTGCCAGCTGCTCTAGGTCACAGATTTGAAGGGCTTCTTCCTTCCAGCTGCTGTTCTGAAATCTCTCCACAGGTGCTCTATGGCAGCGGTCCCCAACCTTTTTTGTGCCAGAGACCAGTTTCATGCATGAAAATATTTGTGTGGACCGGGTAGAGGCGCAAAAGTTCCAATAACAAAACCCTATGTCAGTTCATAGTATGTAATCTGAATGCAACAATTACACTTTATATTAGGCAACTACAATAATTTTACACTATATCAAGTCACCATAATGCAGAGTCAGTGGGAGCCCTGGGCTCGTTTCCCTGCAACTAGATGGTCCCATTTGGGGGTGATAGGAGACAGTGACACTCGAATGATGCTTTCGGTGCAGACACATTTGTTGAAGTGGTGGCCCTCAATAACTGTTTTTGTCCTTCATGTTCACATTTTTTCTTTCAAAAAATTCCAAGGGCTTGTCTTTTAACGCAGGGTGTTTTGTCTCAATGTGGCGGAGCATTTTTGTGGGTTTCATGGCTTCATGAGCTGGTCGGTCACCGCAAATTATGCATAGTGGCTGTGGAGCTTGTGTATCACCTGTTGAGAAGAACCTGTAACTTAGGTAGGAATCGCGGTATTTTCTTTTAAATGCAGCTTTCTTTTTGCTGGCAGTCTGTGACCCTTCTGCTGTCCCATTGTTTGCTCTTTCCTTACCGAAAAAGCTCTCCAGTGAATTGATTTTTTGGCTTGTTTTTTTTTTTTTTTTTGCCGGAGTCAAGTGCAGTAGTGAGTAGTGAGAAACAGTTGTTTTTCAAAATAAGATCCGGAAGACTAATGAAACAAAAATAACTATAATTCTAACCACGAAATTTTTTCTTTGTGGCCTGGTACCAAATGATCCATGGACTGATACCGGTCTGGGGACCGGGGGTTGGGGACCCCTGCTCTATGGCTGCTCTAGATCTGGACTCATTGCTGGCCACTTCAGAACTCTCCAGCACTTTGAAACCATTTCTGGGGCTTTGTGAGGTCTGCTTTGGGTCATTGTCCTGCTATAAGACCCATGACCTCTGACGGAGACCCAGCTTTCTGACACTGGACCCTACACATTGTCCCAGAATTTGTTGGTAGTCTTTAGATTTCATAATGCCATTCACACAGTCAAGACATCCAGTGTTTGAAGCAGCAAAGCAACCCCAGAACATCAGTGAACCTCCAGCGTGTTTGACTGTAGGGACTATGTTCTTTTCTTTGAAGGCCTCACTTTGTTTTCTGAAAACAGTAGAATGATGTGCTCGACCAAAAAGCTTTATTCTAGTGTCATCTGTCCACAGGACGTTCTGCCAGATTGTGGCTTCCTCAGGTAAGCTTTGCCAAACTCCAGTCTGCTTTTTTTATGTTCATGTTCAACAGTGGGTCCCCCTGGGTCTCCTACCATAGTGTCCCTTGTCATTAAAATGGTGACGGATAGTGCGAGCTGACACTGTTGCACCCTGTGCCTGAAGGTCTGCTTGAATTTGTTTCGAAGTTGATCGAGGTTCTTTATCCACCAACCGAACAATCTTTCATTGGAATATATCGTCTATTTTTCTCTTTTGTCCATGTCCAGGGAGTTTAGCTACAGAACCATGTTGGATCTGGCATGTTCTGACACAAATTAATCCAGGTTATAACTGTTTCTAAATCTTAAACAGAGGTTTACTATTACTGTCTTTTTTTTCTAATGATACGGCATATGCGTAAACATTTTTCTAGCAAAAGAAAGCCACATGTATAACCTAAGAAAGAAGTAGAAAAATGCAGAAAGTAGGTTTGAGTGTATTTTTTCAATCTTTCGTAAGAACAATCTTGAATACTTTTTAGCAACATGTTGTACAATGACAAATTCAAGTATAAATAAAAAATGTCTTGTCCCATTTTTGGAACCACTGCCCCTGCCACACGACTGTAAAAAGCATCAAAAATCTACAAATACAATAGAAAATTCTAAACAAAAATGTGAAGTCCTCTGCACTCTAATTACTGTACCACATTGTAGGACAGTATGAAAGTGTGTGTCCATGGGCTTTGCAGCTGTATTTCTCACATAGTATTGGTTTTGCAGTCCTTCTTTGAGAGGCAAAATTGGCATCTCCTCCTCTTACCTGCCCTAGCTGCAGCCGCAGGTGAATCAGGACAAGATTCAATCTCCTGAACTGCTTTCACAAGTGCTCCAGATGCTGTTGTGTGGGGTAGGCTATGTCTTCTTTGAATATGTGGGGTTACAAGTGCCTTTCTCAGCTGCTCCAGGAACACATGCCACCTGTTCCGCTTGTCAGGCATCCAGGTAGGGTTGATCTGGTTCCATATCATGAAGGAGTTGTATGAGGACATGTCAATTATGT